GACCCAATGAAGTCAGACCATTGCCCTCTACTTTTAAAATTTGATACTTCTTGGCAAGCTAGCAGATGTCGTAGGCCCTTCCGATTTGAAGCTGCCTGGCTCACACACCCAGATTTCTCAAACCAAATTCGATCTAATTGGGACATGATGCAAAATTGGTCGAGTCAATTGAAACATATTCAAACCCACTTGGTGGGATGGAACCATACATCATTTGGAAATATATTCTTCGAGAAACGTAAGAACCTCAAACGTTTAAATGGTATTACACTAAATCTCAAACAACGAAACAACCCCTACCTAGACAATCTATCTAGAGAATTATGGTCTCAATATGAACATCTTCTTGCTCGAGAGGAAATACTTTGGTTCCAAAAATCGCGTTATAAATGGCTTGTTTTTGGTGACCGTAACACTAGCTATTTCCATGGGATAACTGTAATTAGAAGGCGAAAGAACATAGTGCTCAAGCTACAAAACGAGAATGGAGACTGGATAGATGGTAAGTCTGACTTAGAAAATATGGCTACAAATTTCTATAAGAACCTATTTGCTACCGATGGTGAGGTTGAGAAGTTCTGTTTATCAAAGTCATACCCTCAACTTTCCAATCACGACCAATAGTTCTTAAGGTGCCATTTTCCAACCAAGAAATTCTTGATGCTGTGAAGCGGATAGGTAGCCTCAAGGCACCTGGCCCTAATGGTTTCTAGGCGATTTTCTATCAATCACAATGGGAAATTGTTGGACCTTCGTTATGCAATTTAATCCATGATATTCAAGAAGACCCTAGTAAGGTAGCTGAGATAAACCATACCTTTCTTACTCTAATTCCCAAAGCAGAGATTGTAACCTCACTAAAACAGATGAGACTGGTTAGCTTATGTAACGTGTCTTACAAAGTGTTGACCAAGATGTTGGCTACTAGACTAAGAAGAGTGATGGAGAGTTTCGTAGGACCAACTCAATGTAGCTTCGTCCCTAACAGATAGACGATAGATAATATCATTTTAACTTAGGAAGTAATACATTCCATGCGAATTCGCTCTGGGAAGAAAGGTTGGATGGCCATCAAAATAAACCTAGAGAAAGCCTATGATAGGCTAAGTTGGTCCTTCATTAAAGACACATTAAATGACATTGGTTTTCCTACTTCGTTCATTGAACTGGTGCATCAGTGTTATTCAACTTCCTCAATGCAGGTTTTATGGAATGGAGAAGCTTTAGAGACTTTCAAACCCTCTCGAGGAATCCGCCAAGGTGATCCGCTATCTCCATATATATTTGTCTTATGTTTGGAGCGATTATTTCATTTAATTGAGATTGCTGTGACACATGACTTATGGAAACCTATCAAGCACTCAAAAAAAGGCCCCGCTCCTTGACCTATTCTGCACAAGCTCAGGTATGAAAGTCAGCCATGATAAGACACGAGTCCACTTCTCCAAGAATGTTGGATGGGTTGTCAAAAATGAAATTAGTGATACACTTGGTTTTCAACAACAGACAATCTAGGCAAATACCTTGGGGTCCAATTGCATCATACACGGGTTAGCAAAAGGACACTCAACTTAGTAATGGAGCACGTGAACAGAAGATTAAATCAGTGGAAAGTCAAGAAGCTTTCATTCGCTGGCCTCCTTACCCTCACTAGATCAGTATTAGCTGCCATTCCATCTTACTCTATGCAGACAATTTTCTTCCCAAGGCAACTTTGTGATGAGCTTGATAGGTCATGCAGATCTTTCCTTTGGGGACACACCATGGATCATCGTCGAATTCATGCACTAGATTGGTCAACTGTCTGCAAAGAGAAGAAAGAAGGAGGGGTATTTGCTCTCAACCAGAGACTTTATGGTGCAAATTCTTAGGTCAAAATATGGTTGTGGTGATGGGATAATTTCAAAGATAGTTTGTAAAAAGGTGGCTTTGAACATATGGAGGGGTATTTGTCATGCATAGGGGAAGGTTCTTCCCATGTTAACATGGAATGTTGGGGACGGAAAGACGGTGAAGTTTTGGAGTGATAAGTGGCTACCATCTCGCACTGTTTTGGACTTTTGGTTAACAATGTAGATCCAAGTTTACCAAGTGATGAGAGACAAAAGGTGGTGGCTGACTATATAAGTGCAGATGGGAACTGGGAAATCGAGAGGATTCAACAATATATGCCCCAAGATGTGGTTTTTGAAATATTGGGAATGGCTCCCCCAAATGGCGAAAACGAGGCAGACTGCATTGTGTGGGGAGGTTCAAGAGATAGCAAATTTACCATTAAATCCGCGTATGCTTCTCTTCGAACCCATAACGTCTCGAGACAGAACCCTTTATTTCCTGTGGTGTGGAATTGGAATGGACCGGAACGAGTCCGTTGTTTTCTATGGAGAATGGTTCATAACAGCTTGTGTACAAATGTCTGGAGAGTTGGTCTAAGACTCTCTACGGATGCAAGCTGCCCAATGTGCTCAAAAAAATATGAAACTTCCATTCACATTTTACGTGATTGCAGTTTAGCAAAGTCTGTTTGGCAACATCTCCATGCAGTCACAAATGCCCAGGATTCCTTTGAAACTCAATTGCAGGATTGGTTAACTTCCAATTTGGAATCGAAAAAGAATTCTTGGGCCACAACATTTGCATTAAGTCTAAATTCTATATGGAAAACACGAAATATTCTTATTTTTAATCAAGTGAAAATGCACGAACTCCATATTTCTCATGAAGTGCTTGGTCGTGTGAATGAAATTCAAAAGGGGTCTATCCTAAAGATTGATCATGCAAAATCAAGGCTAAAAACCAACCAGCATATTGGTTGGATTCGTCCTCCAAACAATACTCTTAAGCTAAATTGTGATGGAGCTGTTGATGATAATGCACATGCAACGTGCGGAGGAGTTCTACGTGATTGTCTTGGCAAGTTTATTTTCAGTTTTTTTGGAAAAATTGGCATTTGTTCAGTGCTTCAAGTGGAGCTTTGGACCATTTTCCACGAACTAAGAATCATTAAGGAGATGAACTTGAAAGGAAACTTTCTAATAGAGTCAGATTCTGTAATAGCAGTAAAGTTTTTGAACGAAAGTTGTTCTAGGGAACATCCTTGTTATTCCTTAGTGAATCATATTGTTAGAGTAGCAGGTGAAATTCAGAATTTAGAATGCAGTCATATTCTTCGTGAGGCAAACTAAGTAACTAATAGGTTTGCAAAACATGGGTTTTCTTTGTCTGAGGGAGTGTCTGTTTTCACTCAAGCTCCGGGATGGGTTAATCTCCCTTTATTTACTGACAAGTCAGCTGCAACTTTTCCTCGTGACTTTTAGTATGTTATTTTTGAGCTTCTAGCCCCTTATTTCATCAACAACAAAAAAACATGTTTTTTACAAATTAATATTTAATTTTTTTATTGTCATGTCTTATTATTCTCAAAGAATAATTTGACTGGTACGGATACATACTAATATTTTTTGAAATAAGACCAATTATTGAAGTGGTCAAAGTTTGGGAACCAAGGTCAACTAATGTTAGTAAAATGATAGTAATAATTAAGTAAAACATGAATAATAATAAATATAATATCAAATTTTTTAACACTAAAAATTAAAACAAAACACAATTTCATAGGTTCTTGACATTCAAAATATATATATATGTAAAATTCTAAATTAAATATATCATAATACATAATGTTAAATTTTAATAAAAGCATAATAATTTTGATTAATATTAACAAGCTTACAACTAAAATAAAAAAGAAAATAACAAATTAAAATAATAATTATTAAAAATAAATATATAAAAGTTGTAATGACTAAATTATATATTTTTTTTTATAAGAAAACTATTAAAATAATTGATAAAAAAAATTATTCCAATATGTAATCCTTATTAAATATGTATTTTTATTTATCTTTAAATATTTTTAATTAAATTTAAAAATTAAATATATATTTTCTTTTGAATAGTACTAGTTTAAACTTATTTTCTAAATTGGTTTTTGATTAATTTAACTAGTTTACACTCGTTCTGAAATGCTCCAGTAGTTTTTTTTTTTTGGTTGATTACAAATCGATAAACAATCCAATTCCTAATCTGTTAAAAACCTTGTACTGAAAATATGTTCAAGGGAATTTGTATCCTATCCCAAAAGTATCAATGTACTAGAGTCCAAATATTAAATCCAAAGAACTAAAATGACAAGTACTAATTTATCATAGATTCTTTATTTATTTGGATAACCCAATTTTTAAAGGAATAAACATGTCAGTGCAATTAATAAAAACTCAATTTCAGATAGTCAGTCAAAGTTTGATATTGTGATTAAAAAATTAGGAAAATTTAGTTTTACGACTTTGACCAATTGTTCATATTTCCCCCGATCCTTATTTAATTTAATGGAACTCTTATTTTAATCGAATACTTTGCCTCTCAATTTGATAATTACTTTTTATGATAGAAATTAACAGTTTTACAAATTTCTAAATTAGTGGTATAACATGTGATTTGTGAAGGTTATTTTTGACAATTTTTGGCCGTTAAAACCGGCACAAATTGTATTACTAGCGTTATTAATAATCGTTAGATCTACAATCACAAAAAACGGTTTGTGGTGTATATTTTGTAAATGCTAGTTCTGGGTGTCAGAAAATTCAATCACATTGTAGCCGTTTTAAACCGCCACAAAATTGCATTTTATTTTTATTTTTCTCACATTATCTTTTAAACCGTCAACTAATTTTTATTATTTTAAAAAATAGATTAAAATTTATTTTAAAAACATGTTCATATTATAAATTGAGAAATAATAATCTATATATTTTAAGTATTTATCAAATTATTGTTTAAAATTATCACTAATTATATTAATCATTTAAAATTAATAATAACTATTATATTGTACTATTACAAGATGTAATCACCTTACAACAAAAGTAGCAAGAACTGCTGCAACTATATCATGAACTCAGGAATTTGGGAAAGACAGCAAGTGAAACAAGAAGAAATCATCAAGATCAAAATAATAATGACTTCTTTTTTAATGAATAAAAGAATCCCACTAAGTAATAGGCATGCACAGTTCATGCCACGACCCACAAACGCCTAGAACTTGGAATAAATTTAGAAGTGCTTACAAGTATTCCACCAGGAGCAACCAATCTTGAAACAGAATCCCAATACATCATTCGGAAATCAAGAAAACAAAAGCATAATTTCTCAGTACCATGCAAGCAAACTATTAAATGGAGAGCAAATCAGTAAGCAATAAAGTAAAAAAAAATATATATATATAATTCCAATAAACTTATGATAGAATCACGGATAAGACAGTATGTTTTCTTACCTCTTGACAGGACCATCAGGATGCAATCATCTAGCGTTCCTTTATCCATAACAAGTTGAAACTCTTGTCCCAACTTTGTCTCGAGGACATCATCGACCTTAAAATAATTAAAGCCAAGGAAGGTATTAGGAATTGGACATGTCAAGAGTGTAAAGATAGTAATGCCTCGCACACAAAATAGGAATGCCAAGAAACAACTTCATGTTCAAAATTCAAAGTGATCTGTCAAATACAACAGTGCACAATAAAATGCGATGAAGGGTTAAGAATATATTAGAATATAGGCTAGCTAGTAGCTAAGCTTATAAAGCTTGTGTGACTTAAATTATGTAACAAAGTTCAGTTTCTTTTGTAATGTTCAGTTGTTACAGTGTTTGTTAGCTGTTGAAGCCTATTCAACATGTCAAAATCACTGCTTGCAAGCACCTTCAACTGCAGAATACTACAAATCTAACTGATTTGTTAAGACTCTAAACAAATAATTTCTTCATTTAAGACTCACTTTCTAAAAAAATTTCTTTCTCTGCAGTAAATACTCTTAACAAATTTCTCTTAGTTTTTCCTTATGGTTTCTCCCATTTTCTAGGATCATTGAATCACAAATTTAAAATATAAATAATTAAGAAAACTGCTTCTTAAAAAGAATGAATAAAACCAGACAATATTAATTCTTCCTTCTATTGCTACAAATTCTAAAGGATAAACTCCAATATTTTTCAGAAGTTCTCCTATTATTGCCCCTCTTCCATTTATTCAGCATTTCTCCATTTTTTCTTCCTATTTTAGTAACATAATTCATTATGTTGGCCCTTTTTCCACCAGGTTCATAGTTCACATGCACATAGTTTACTTTTGCAGCCCCTACTATGTGAGTTCTGTTTTGTTTTTTCCACTGGGCATGTGACATTTACTACCGTAGAAAATTGGATGGTCAACCATCTTCAAATCCTAATAGTTACCAATAATAGGTTGGAAGTTAATCATTATAAAAGCCCTAGAAACAAGAATCATGTGACACAAAATTTCAGTAATGCTAAAGCATGTGACAAAGTGCCTCCAGAAGAACTAAAAACTGTGGGATTATTGGAAAGAATGGAAAGCTCAAATCAGCCACTATTGATTCAACTTGTGTGAAACCAAAGGATTGCAGCTTTGGTGATAATTGATGAAAATGAAGCTGTTATGTTACAATTCAAGAATCACGTCAATGTAAGAGGGGTATGCAGTGGCAGATTAACTCAGGACATTGAAGACTTTGGTGATAAATTTTGATGAAAAAAATGCTGAAAATTCAAGAAATCGGGTGAAGGTACAAAAAGAGCATGGCAGATGTACAAGTTACAATGGCTAAAAAAGGAAGAAAGAAACAAAGCAAAGCTCCAATTATTTTCTCATGTATTGAAAGCCGCAAACAATCGAACAATTAAGAAAAGATGAAAAACAGAGCAAACAAATATAAATGACTCGAATGGTAAGAAATGGAATTGTGTTGTATAGTTTGCCCATAATAATACTGACTTTTCGTAATTGTGTATCGTTACACCCTTTATCTGAGTTTGCTGACAAAGAATTGCAGTATTAGAGATTGGGAACCAAGGGGAACAGGGTGATGATCACTTATCAACAGTAAAAAAGAATGTTTGGCATGCTAACTTCACAATCTCAGGTAATAGAATAACCTTCACCTTTGGGATTCACAAGAAGGAAAGAGTTGAACAAAACTACATGCTCATTCACACACAAAAATTAAAACTAGAACGTACCATAAATTTGATGTTGGAAAATCAATCCCGATTAGCAAGGCTTTGGGCAAGGCTGATTGCCCTTTCACTATAGTCAGTCCCAGTTAAATTAGAGAACCTGAACAAATGCCAAGAGTTTTCATAACAAGGAGTTCACAATACAACAACATAAATGAAACCACTAGGGTTAGCCTAGGTTTTTTTTTTTTTGGGAGGATACACAAAAACTTAGGTTTGATCATTGTTTTGCCATTGTAATCTTTCCTACTAATAAAACAAATTGATATCTCTCCACTATAAATATTCAGAATTTGCAAGAACCTAGACTGCACAAAGCATGGTTTCATTCCCAAGAAACTTTCTCATCAAAGTATAATCAGTAAGGCTTCGACGCACAGACGCAGCTAAATTTTCATTTTTACCAATTTAATTTTTAAAAAATCAATCAAGAACCCTATATAAGATTTTTTGAAAGATTTTTATATAGAAAAATCTCATCCTTATAGCTTCATTGGTGTACATGACCATGAGCTGATATGGATTGGAAGTATTTAATTAAATTTTCATTATTTTATAAATTACTTGAAATAAATCATTTATTGCCTTTGCCACTGAAATTATCATTCAATTGTAATTATGTGTTCACATATTTTTTTGGTACAAGATTAGTAAGCCTTTCTGTTTTCAAACAAATACAACGAGGCACCAATATTTGGTTTTCACTATTATACCATTGACAATTACATCCTTTGTTCGTGGTAAGCGTGACAATGGATTTGTTCCATTGATGCTGTCAGTCCAGTAATAATCATCTAGCTCCGGAGGATGAGCATTACGAGGGACTATGCCTGGATCTCTTGATGAGGTCACTACAAGGGTGACCAGAACCTGTGAATACATTTCAAGAGTTGGGAGCTGGTACAGTGGCCAATGACAGATTGTGCTGTAACAGATCTTGATAATCACGTCATTTTTTGGTCATTTAAGTAGAGACAAAAAAATACTAAACTAGTGCATCCTAGAATCTGTTTATCCATATATGTATAGTTGTTCAGAAATAATTGATGATGGAATTAAAATTGTGAAAGTCTTGGTACAACAACTAAATGCTAAGGTTTATACCTAATTCAGTGCGTAGTTAAGAAAGCAGTACAGATGATCTTTATACCTGAGTAACCTGACTAATATTAATAATTAGAATCTATGAAATTTTGCTTCACTTAAAATGGTACTCTCTCCTTTCCCCCTCTCAAAACACTGCCTCCTATTAGCATTTATGTGGCATACTAGCCAGTAGCATATTTTTAAACAAGATATTCATTTAAGTTTATGGAAATGTGGTTGGAATATTAGCAGAAAATCCAAATGTTATCTGAGAACAAAGTATAAAAGTCTAAGAAAATAATGTTTTTCACTTCACTAAAAAAAAGTTCTTTCAAAATATAATGGTGAGTTTTGAATGCCTTTCGACCTTTCAGCCATTCACCTGTATAATTTTATTGAAATTATTACATCGTTTGTAATAGAAAATGATATGTAACTAAGAGAGTATTTATTGGTAAGGGGTTACAGGAAAAATTCTTCCTACTTTTAACATCAATTGCACTATATGCAGAGTAGCAAACACAGTATTAATTGATTGAAATGGAAAAAAAAAAAATAAAATAAAATAAAAAATAAAAAAAAAAAGTCTTTTTGCTTTAGTCCTTTGCTTCGAGATGAGAAGTCATCGTTATCATCATCCTTATAGCAGGATTTTCTAGACATGACCACGTTAAAGAAGTCAAAGCTAACATGTATATTTGGATCGACTTAGCTTATCGAAAAAAAGGGGCATGACTCCCGAAAGTATAATTAAATACACATATTCTCAATATCTTATCAGATATTGCATTTGAATCAATCGAATAGAGAATCCTAGCATACTAAAAATAAGAGTTTATAAAGGTAACAGTTTCCTAGCAACCATAGCACAGAACACAGCCTAAACCCTAAAATTTGTTCCACCTAAAGCCTTGAACAAAAAAATTATAATGAAATATTATACAAAGCAAAAATAGGGAATCGAAATGGATATGAATCGAAAACTCACCTTAAATGAAAGCAATCGATCGAAGAACAGCGTAGAGAAGAGAAAGCTTAAAAAGCTCTTGCGAAATTACTAACCCCAAATTGAACACTTATCGAAATGCTTGCATCGCAAATTGGCTCACGAACGATTGTGTTGAGCGTGAAGTGAAGCATAAGGTTTAACGGAAGAAGAAGAAGCGAAGCAGAGTGAAGTGAAGCAGAACGTGTAGAAGAAGCGAAGCAGAGTGAAGCGAAGCAGAGTGAAGTGAAGCAGAACGTGTCGAAGAAGCGAAGCAGAACGCCCTAGGTAGGAATTTTTTTTATTTAAATTTTTTTATTATGATATTTAAATATTGTAGAGGTTTAAAATCGCTAAAAATTTAATTTTGTGGCGGTTAAAATAATTCTTAGAATTATAATATTTTGTAGTAGTTTATTAAAATTGTTGAAAAAAAAATTGTCACTAATTAACTAATTTTTTATAGTGTAGCATGAAGTACAAATAGTTTGATTAATTTGAATAACCTAAATACAAGTTTAGAAAACAGTTTTGGTTATGCAAATTTTTAGCATACATGTTCATGTAATGATTAATATTACTTTTGTACTATTGATTAATTATCACAATACTTAAATCGATCAATTCCTCTTTTGAAATTAAATAACAAGATAATCATGTATAGAACATGCTCAAATTAAAACAATGTTAGAGATCAAAGATTCAATCTACATAGAAATTTAGCTAGACATAGCTTACATAAAGTGCAATTAAAATTAAAAGGAAAACATTGAAAAATAAAGAAGGGGAAAAAGCCAGACAGGTCACCTCCTCTCTCTTGAAGTGGCGTCCTTCTTCCCAAAAACCCACTCTCACTTGGAGCTCTCCGATAAAACTCAAGTACTAGTTAAGGTAAAAACTTGAAACCCTAATCCTTTAGCCTTTGTTCTCATTATATTAGCCTGATAGATTTCTGAAGACGGAGATATAAAATAATCGAAACCGCTTTGTCTTTAATATATTAGCACAAAGCTAGGGCGTGATGAAATTTAAAAATGAGCATAATGGATTTCTGAAGATGGAGATACTCAACCATAAGCATGGTTGTGCTAGAAGTTAGCACAAATGTCCTCCTTAGTAAAGGTGTGGTAGTTATCACAACCTAAACAATTCTGGTACATGCGACCTATGGATTAGACATCCAATTAAAGAAGTCTCGTCAATTAAGGAACGTCCGGCAACCAGACTAATCCTTAACTAATAGTTTTAAAAAATGAGTTCATGGAATCACTACCAATGTTTTGTTCAAAACAATGGGAAAAAATGAAAAAATATTTTTAAAAAGATCCAATTATGTCCTTAGTAACCAAAATTGAGTTCGGGAGTCGGTTACGTGTATTATCCTCATGATGAAGTTAGCATAGAAAGAATTAACAAATTAAATATCTAATCCCCTTTATTAATGGTTATTTAAATGCTTAAAACTTAAATTACGCGGTTGTCCCTAAGACGTCTACATGATTGCTTTTAGCATAACAATGTTATTAGAGATGAGAATATAAAAGAAAGGAGAGAGAAAAATTACTTGAAATACCTCTTAGACGAGCTGTATTGAATCTTCAAATAAATATGGAGATAGGTGCTTTATGACAACCTTTCACACTACACATAGGGATGGCAAAAATACTCGCACCTGCGGGTATTTACGGGTAAAATCCGCTACGGATAATAAATGAATAGGCTAATTGGGTACCTGCGGATAATGGAGACAGATAATTTTTTACCCGTTTATAAATGGGGCGGGGGCGGGTATGATGATATTCATACCCGCGCGGATACCCATTTAATAATATTTCTTAAATATCCTAATTATCCTTGTACCACATAACCTTAAAACTACACTTTCTCATCTTATTTTCTTACAAAAGTGAGGTTGATGAAGTTACCAACATGTGTTAAGCATGTTATAGAATTGTGTTGGATGTAATTTGATTAATTTTCTAGCTTTGATTGGACCAATAAGATTTATGTATTTTAAGTTGTTTACTTTCGTTTGGACTTATGAGATTGAGTTATTATAGCTTTGTGATGAGACTTTAACTTACTTGTGAGATTGATGTATTTTAAGTTATTGATTATCTTGCATTTTTATTATTATTTCAATAAAATTAACGTTAAATACAAGTTCAAAATTAACATTGAATTTTTATTTTTAATATTTCAATGATATTAAATATGAACATAAAATTATTTGTAATATAATTTTTTAATTTCTTAAAAAATTTATAAATATCCATGGGTATTCAAGAAATTCATGGATACTCGCTTAATGGATACCCGCGCAGATATGGGGTGGGTATGAGGCCAATTTTCATCTAGCGGGGCGGGGGTGGGTTTACTATTACTCTTCCATGGGGCCCCATTGCCATCCCTAACTACACAGATGTCTCACAGATCTCAAGAAATACAAAAGAGAGAGAGAGAGAGAAATTTTGAGATATAAGGGATTCTGGATCAATTTATCTGACCCCTGGGAACCGTGCCTGAGTTTGCTATTTATAGACATCAAAAGTGGCCAAAACAGTCCGTTCCAGATCCAGATCCAGAACGGCCCATTTTGGACCCCTTCATTATGCGTTAATTTTGTATCTGGAATAGTCCGTTCTTAAACCAGAAATGCTCGTTCCAGAGTTAAGTTTTACACATAACTGCCCGTGCTGGAATGACCCGTTCCAGTTTGAGAACGACCTGTTACATGTTGGGAACATACTGTTCTAACTTGGGAACGACCCATTCCAGTTTGGGAACGGGTCGCTCTGGCTTGGGAACAACCCGTTCTAGGCTACTAAGTCAGCTTTTGTTGGGCTTTAGGCCTTCTGATGTCATGTCTTGTTGTTTCCATGCTTAGGAGCTCCTTTTCTTCATAAAATAGAAGTCTATTTCTCAATTTACTGGTCCAGACAAAATTAGGTGTCTACAGTTGCCCCTCTTTACTTGTCCTTTGGGGTAGCTATGTGTTGCTTCTCCAAAGGCAAGTAAAGACGTAAACATTTCTTCTAGGTCTTCTCTTCGTCTTCTTGTACTAGCGCTTCTACATTGCTTCCTTCGGGTAGATGGCATTTATCGATATCCTTGTCCTTTGGGGCAACTAAGTGTTTGGTTGTATGCCCGTCGGGTGTTCAAGGATGGTAAACTGAAACATCTAGGCTTCCGGTCTTAGTATAGATGCCTCCTACTGCTTCTGCTTGTCTCATGGTAGTGTGATCTTTATTTATAGTTTGTTAAAGAAGAAGTATATTCTAAGCTCAGTCTCTCTAGACTAGATTGACATTTAGGGCTTCAACCAGCCCAATGCTAATTTTGGGGTCTAGTAACCCTTACCGATCTTGTACTAGTTTTGGGAATCTAGCAACCCTTACCGATCTTGTACTAGTTTTGAGTGTCTAATAACCTTTACCGATCATGTACTAGTTTTGAGGGTCTAGCAACCTTTACCGATCTTGTACTAGTTTTGAGGGTCTAGCAACCTTTACCGATCTTGTACTAGTTTTGGGGATCTAACAACCTTTTTCGATCTTATACTAGTTTTAGGGATCTAGCGACCCTTTCTGATCTTGTACTTGAGGATTCTGATAGTGTCTCCTCGTTGGTGTTGTGGGATGAAAGACTGCCCCTAGGTGGATAGGCAGGAGATGTTTGATGTGCCTTTGTGTTGGTGAGCAGAGAAATAGATGAATGACAGGAATTCTAGTGTTGCCTCTACCATGTGAGTATTGTGATGCCTCTCCAAGCATTTTCATTTTCAGATGGTTCGCAGGAATTTGGTGTTGGTCTTGCCAAAGTGGGTATTGTGATGCCTCTCCAGGCGTGTTCCCTGAGCATGTGTGTGGCAAGAATCATGTTTTTCTCGCCCGGTGAGTATTATGATGCCTCTCCAGGCGTGGTGCTTGGGTGTTGCCACTGTTCTTTTGTTGATGGCTGGTTATCGTGATGTTGGCGTAGGCTTGCTTGGAGTGCTTTGACTTGATCATCGTTATGGGTAACTCTCTCCCTTGCTTGCAGGTGGTTCTCTGTGCTGAGGATTTTTTTAGTACTTATTTTTTTTCTTTGTCTTATAACTTTGGCTTTTTTTGGATGCAAAAGTTTTGTCTTTTTCTCATGTTATTTTTTTTGCCTTTTATCTCTTTTGTATCTTATGCATGCGTGTATATGAAGTGGATATATTATACATATATATATATATATATATATATATATATATATATATAT